ACACACACACCGGAACTTGGCGCGCCCCACCTGTCACGTCTCAATTCCCCACCAGTGGGTCGCGCCACACACTTTGAGAACCGCGGGTTTAACCTAATCTTTTAATCAGAGCATTTGATTTTTATAATTTAATGTTTTCCGTCTAAAAAACAAAACAAAAAAAACATAAATATGTTGCCTGGAAGTTAATAAGGATTCTAAATAAATACAAAATAAAATCCTATTATAAAACTGTATTTACAAAACTGAAGCTCCTCTGAATAAATACATTTAAACTTGATGATTTGGGAACAATATACAGAACAAAACTTATAGTCAGGCTGACTTAATTAGTTTTACTTTGTGTTCATCAAGACACCTGAGCTGCTTCTATGAGCTCCGAGGGCTTAGTGTGAAGAACAGCAGATACCAGGCCGTTCTCTACATCCAGTCTGTCCCTCTGCTTGGTTTGGATGTTTGTTACAGCTCAAGATGAACCCAAACACATAAGAAAACATACAACTTATTTTTCAATTGGCTCTTCACAAAGCAAAATACATCCCAGACCTATGAATTTAGTCATTAAATATCCCCTAAAATGCACCTGATATCATTAGTATGTTACACATTAATCCTCTTTACTCTGCTCTCGGTTGGGGTCTCCCTTCCACTCTGGAGCAGCAGGATGCTGCCCGTCAGCCTGTATGAGAAATCCCTGTTGAGATTTGAGTCTCCGTCTAGCAGATTATTAGATATTTTGGATAACATGCCAAAAAGATGTCACTGCCTGTGAGGCTAAACCTCTCAGGCTGTCTACGAAGCAGGGGTGGGTCGTACTTAAGTATAACATTGGCCAGACAGCGAGGAGGTTTTTCTCATGAGTTGAAAAGGAAAAATTATAATTCTGTCAGAACATCTTGTGCTGAACTCTTAACATGATTTCTGGAGTTTATTATTTTAAAACACTTCACAACAGCTATATTCACCTGTTTTAGTGATGTGTTCTATATCTTTCAACATTTATTAATGCAATTTCTGATGTTTGGACTTAATTAACACCACTGATCCTCCCTTGTTTCAGCAAGCAGCAGCCACCACTGCTTTCTGCCAGATTGCAATATAATCCATCATTTACTCTTCAAAAACTGGACGTCTAAAGGCATTTCTGCACAGCTTTCAACCAAAAAAGTGGTCCATAGTTGTGAAAAAAGTTCAAGGGATATTCCACAATACTTTTGCAAGGCACACTTAACTAGTCCTATTTCTTCTTCTCTCCTAATAAAGTATTCAGCATTTCCTTAAGCTTTCATTTCATTTTACATGATAATCTCCACCACTATACCACAAGGTTCCTTTTGTAAAACTATTCTTAAAACAACTAGTAACGTCAGTGTGTGAGTGACACTTGGTAAAGTCCACTTTACCGAATGTACTGCATGTAATATGGAAAGCTTAACCACAGTTCTGGTGTCCCTAGAGCTCAGACAGTAAGAGCAGGAGTACAGAGCAAAGGACCAGGCAGAGAGCCCCAGAGCTGGGGCAGAGGCAGAAGGCAATATCTAGCTCTAGTGGAGGAATGATAAATAATTTAATGCTCCTTCCCAGGAGTTCATTCAAAAAGCTTTTTAAGAGCCACCAACAAACCTCTAAAGAGCATTTCTTATTTTAGTTTGCTTCAACATTAAGTTCTCTAACTCTGTGATATAAATTGATTTTTTTTTTTAAATGCTTAGTATTCAATGCGCTCTTCGACGTTCCTCACAACCACATCCACCCCTGATTGGTGGATGTGTCAGGAAATTATGGAAAATGTTCAGATTTTAACTCTAGCAAAATTCCCTTTGCGTCCACCTCAGGTATTTACCTTAATTGCACCATTTGTATCATTAGAGACAATGTCCAGCCAGTCAGAGTCAGAGAAATAGGACTACACTGAAAAACAGGCAAACATCTATAAACAAAGGTGTTGATGGCAGCAGCACAGCTGATATTTCTCTCCAGGGTGGTGTCTGGCTGTGTTTGGCAAACAATATAGTAAAGAGAATTGGTCCTAGCACTGATCCCTGTGGTACTCCACAGGTAACCCTTGAGCATGAGGAAGATTTGTCATTAACATGAACAAACTGGAATCGATGAGGAGGAGAGGAGTGCTAATTATCTTATTTTTAATAAAATCAATCTTATTTATAAAGAATCGCATAACATTATTACTGCTAAGAGCAGGTGGTATGGATGGTTCAACAGAGCTATGGCTCTGGGTGAGTTTGGCAATTGTATCAAAAAGATATCTAGGATTATTCTTATTCTCCTCTATTAATGAGGAGAAATATGCTTCTCTTGCTTTACAAAGGGTCCTTTTATACAGAAGTAAACAATTTTGTCCAGACTTGGTAGGATTCCCAAAGGCCTGTGGAGTGCAATTTTCTCTCCAGTTTCCTAGCATTTTGCTTCAGATTGTGGAGCTCTGCATTAAGCCAGGGAGCCAGCTTTCTATTTTGAAAGTTTTTCTTTTTCAAAGGGGCTGCATTGTCTAAGGCAGTACCAGAGAGCTAGCAACAAAATCATCAACCTGTGAAGGGGAATAAATTTAACTTTTGCCCACTGTAACGCGACTCAGCAAAACAGAGGACAGAGAAAGTGAAACAGATTCTTTAAAATTTATACCTGCACTATCTAATAATGATCTGCTAAGGTGAAACCTTCTTTTGGGGGATGTATCTCTGTTAAAGCAATCCTAATGTTATTAAAAAGTGGTCAGAGAGGACAGGGTTGTGAGGAAATACTGTTATTTCTTCACATTCTATGCCATTTGTCACCACAAGGTCCAAAGTATGAAGATGAGAATGTGTGGGACTATTCATATTTTGAACAAAGGGCCCCCATTGGCCCCTTTCTAGAACTGCCCATGCCTATCAGTTCTGTGTCCTTAAAGGCTTCGGCATCTGGAACTCTCTCAAACACCGCGTCTTGTCAGCTGACTGTCTGGTAACAACCTCGTTCTCTGGGCACTAACTGAAGTCTAAACCAGGTTAGAGACTCACGTGTTCAGATCACCCTCCATCAGGTTTTTCGTGGTCACTAATCTGTGTTTCCTCTCATCAGAGTTACTTGCATCAGATGCCCTCACCACTGCTGCTGCA